GCGGGAGGGAGGGGGGACACTTGAAGTGGTGTATTTGGAGGACTGGGGCTCAAAATGTTATAAGGGTATCTGTGATTTCTTTGTGCTTAGAGCTTAGGGAATAGCACTGTGTGATTATTGTTATGTTCACATTTAAAATAGGAGACATTCACTCATTCATTCAGTGAGCAAATACTTTTGAACACCTGCTATGCTGTTGCAGTACAGGGGATGCAGCAGAGAACAAAAGAGATAAAGTCTCTATCCTCATGGTGGGTGCATTCTGGCAGAGGAGCCAAATCACAAACAAATAACTAGATAATGTCGGGGGATAAAGAAAAGTAAATAGCCCTAGCCGGTTTGGCTCAGTGGATAGAGCGTCGGCCTGCGGACTGAAGGGTCCCAGGTTCGATTCCGGTCAAGGGCATGTACCTTGGTTGCGGGCACATCCCCAGTAGGGAATGTGCAGGAGGCAGCTGATCGATGTTTCTCTCTCATCGATGTTTCTAACTCTCTATCCCTCTCCCTTCCTCTCTGTAAAAAATCAATAAAATATATTTTAAAAAAAAGAAAAGTAAATAAGGCAAAGGATGATGGGGCGAGCAGCCATATCTAGATGGCATGGTCAGAGAAGACCCCATTGGCAAGACAACAAGAGGGCATCTGAGCCAACATCTGAAGGCAGTAACGTGAGTGCCTGGGGTAAAACTGTTCTTGGCAGAAAGGACAGAGGACAGCAAGTGCCAAGGCCCTGAGGCTGAAGTGCTGTCAAGGAGCAGCAGGGAAACTACGAGGGGTAGCAAGGGGAGAAGGGGAGAAGTAGAAGGAAATGAGATCAGAGGGAAGAGAGGACAGGGCAGGCAGAGCATGTCAGCTTACCAGCCATGGTAAGAATTTTCAGCTTTATTCTAAGAGAAATAGGAAGTTGCTGGAAGTCATTTTGAGCAGAGGAGTGATAGTATGTGACTTATTTTTTAAAAGATCACTTTAACTGCTGTGTAGAAAACAGCCTGAGGCAAAGGCAGGGGGATCAGTTGAGAAGCTACTATAATGATCCAGCCGAGGCAGAACCATGGCTCTGGCCAGAGCAGTGGCAGTGGAGGTGGTGACAAGAGGTCAGATGTTGGGTATATTTGAAAGGCAGAGCCAGTAAAGTTTGCCAGTGCATTAGAAGCGAAATGTGAGAAAAAGAGGAGTCAAGGATGAATCCAAGTATACAGGAAATGGATGAAATATTTCCTGCCTCTCCACACAGAATCAGTCTTGCCTCTCTATTTCTATTTATCACGTATTGAAATGATTTGTTTATAGATCTGCTTACTTACTCGACTCTGAGCTCCTCAAGGGCACAACCTGGATCTTATTGATGAATGATGAAGTGTTTACTATTCCTGGCAGTGAGAGAGAAAGGAGGAATTAGAGCAGTGGTTCTCAACCTTCCTAATGCCACGACCCTTCCTAATGCCACGATCCTCAGTACTGGGTGCTTTTGTGCACTCTGCAGCCCTATCCCTCATTGTTCTTCTGGCCCTGTGTCTCCCAGCCACATTGCCATTCCCTACTTCCTCTACCTTACCATGACTTAGGTGTTTTTATTTGTAATGTTCCTCTAGCTTGGTCATACCCTCCCAGAGAAGAAAAGGTAGTTTTCTTCCTAGTAGACAAAATTATAATTTTCCCAATGTTTATAAATGGCTATCCCACTGAATAGATCATGTCTGTTTTCACACCTGTGTCATCAGCACCTGGAACAGCACCTGGCACATTACTGGAGCTCAGTAAAGGGAGTGGATAAACTGAGAGCCAGGCACTTTACAGACATAATCTCACTTGTCCTTATGGTACACTTTACAAATGAGGAAACTAATTGTGAGGAGCTGAAACTGGTCCAAGGTTACACAGCTAGTAAGTAGCAGTGACTGTTTGGGAGTTTTAAATAATCCCTCCAAGAGAGTAGTGCTCATCTTTTGATTTGTTTTCCAGTGGAGACTTTTCAGAAATTGCAAAAGGCAAAGGAGATTCTGACTAATGAAGAGAGTCGAGCCCGCTATGACCACTGGCGAAGGAGCCAGATCGCGATGTCATTCCAGCAGTGGGAAGCTTTGAGTGACTCGGTGAAAACGGTAGGTGTCTCTCTGGGATGAAGTGAATTTATGAAGCTCAGGCTGCCCATGGATTAGACTTACATAGTAACTTAAATAGTCAATAGGGGATGGGAGGGAGAAGGCCCAAAAGGTGGTAGAATCTGGATGAAAGTCAGTCGGTGTCCACAAAACCCTGTGAAGGGAAATGTAGTGGATCAGTGCCAGAGAGCCCGTGACTATGCTTGTGAGTCTCTTTAGCCATTCGATTGGTTATATACACTCCCCGTTATCATTTACTGTTTTATACATTCTCATAACTGTGCTTCCCAAGTTGCTCATACAATACTGCTGAATTTTGAACCATTGCAAATTTATCTCCTTCATCTTTTTAGCTCATATGAGCCTGTTCTCTTCTCAAGGCGTATAAACTCCATAAAAAAACAGGATCTGATTAATCAAAGAAAGCTCTAAAATATTTATAAATTACTTTCATTATAAATTCTTATGAAAGAATTATTGGATAGACGCAGGACTAAAGCATTGTGTTATTTCTTCATGCCATTAAAAAAACCCTAAATATCAAAATAATCACTATATTTACTGTTATATGTTTATTTTGTTTTTTTACATTAAGCTTTATATATTACTAGAGGCCTGGTGCACGGATTTGTGCACCGATGGGGTCCCTCAATCTGGCCTACACCCTTTTGCAATTTGGGCCCCCTCGGGGGATGTTGGACTGTGGGGATTGGGCCGAAACCGGTAGTCTGACATCCCCTGAGGGATGTAGCAGTGTGTGAAGCGGCAGGCGGCTGGGGAGGAGCCCGAGCCGGGGCCGGGTGCTGCGCCACTCCTGCTCATCCCGGCCCCACTGTGCCTGTTGCTGCCACTCGGTAGTGCTGCCATGGAGGTGGGAGAGGCTTGCACCACCGCAGCTGTGCTCACCAGCCGTGAGCCTGGCTTCTGGCTGAGTGGTGCTCCTGCTGTGGGAGTGCACTGACCACCAGGGGGCAGCTCCTGCGTTGAGCATCTGCCCCCTGGTGGTTGGTCAGTGTGCATCATAGTGACCAGTTGACCGGTTGAGTGGTCGAGCAGTTGAGTGGTCAAGTGGTCAGCCGGTCGCTTAGGCTTTTATATATATAGGTAGAGAAAATACAATTTTAAAGGTTTCTACATTCTTAGGCATGACTTATTATCCAGTTTTTTTTTCAATAGGGACACTTTTCTATGGCATGAGACTTAGAATACAGAAGTTACCTTACAGGCAAGTCTTAAGGGACATTTATTAGAATTAATCTACAAGGTCCTAGCCAGTTTTCTCAGTGGTTAGAGTGTTGGCCTGCGACTGAAGGATCTCAGGTTTGATTCCAGTCAAGGGCACCTGCCTAGCAGTTTGATTCTGTCCAGGGCAGGTGCCTCGGTTTCAGGGAGGCAACCAATCAATATGTTCTCTCACACTGATGTTTCTCTCTGTGTGTCTCTCCCCTTCCCTTACACTCTCTTTCAAAAAAAAAAAAAGATTTAGTCACAAAACGATTCACATCTTTTATTTACTTATTTTTCTTTTATTTGATTTGAGAGAGAGAGAGAGAGAGAGAGAGAGAGAAACATTGATGTGAGAGAGGAATATCAATTGGCTGCCTCCCACACTTGCCCCAACGGAGGATCAAACCCACAACCTGGGTGTATGTACCCTGACTGGGAATTGAACCCTCCACCTTTTGATGTATAGGACGATTCTCCAACCAACTGAGCCACACTGGCCAGGGCTGATTCACATCTTTTACATTACAACCTGTCAGCATTACATTTAAATTTCTTTCTTAATAGTTTTATTTTAAGAAGACTTAAGCAAATTGTTTTTCCATTGACAAAAGATCTGTAATAGTAAGTGAGGGTCTTTGAAGTAATTGAGAAGAACAATGCAAAATTATCAAAGTACATAGTTAAAGCCACTCTACATAAAATGTAAATAATATTCTTCATCTCATTTTGGAATGAGTGTATATTCATATGATTTCTTTAAGTGGGTTAATTATTCATGAAGGACTATTGAATATATAGAATGGGGTAAAAGGTTTACTGTTCATATGGAAAATAATACAATAATTAATAAAAAATAATACAAGAATAAATTCTGTGTTTTGTGTACTTACAACTGTAAACCTACTTTTGCCATGTCCTGTATGCACAAAATAACTAGAGAGAATTTTTTGTTTTTATCGATTAAAGAGAGAAGGGAGAGGGAGAGATAGAAACATCAATGATGAGAGCGAATCATTGATGATCGGCCACCTCCTGCATGCCCTCTACTGGGGATCGAGCGTGAAACCTGGGTATGTGCCCTTGACTGGAACTGAACATGGGAACCTTCAGTCCACAGGCTGATTCTCTATCTACTGAGCAAAACCGGGTAGGGCTAGGGAGAATATTTTTAAAATAGTGACTTAACTTCACATACTCAAAAGTAAGATTTTTTTCCCTTTTACATTGTGTATACCTGCAATTCCTTGTTGGCAGGGACTAAATAGACATTGTTCTACCACCTCTGCATAACCATATTTCCATTCTGCTTGTGTGACACACTGTAACTGCAATTGAATTAGTGACCCTTGCTATTTGAATGCCTTTTGATTTATAGTTCACTAGAGGCCCGGTGCAAAAAAATTTGTGCACTCGGGGGGCGGGGGGAGGGGGGTCCCCCAGCCTGGCCTGTGCCCTCTCAGTCTGGGACCCCTCGGGGGATGTCCACCTGCTGGTTTAGGCCCGCTCCCTGGGGGATCAGGCCAAAGCTGGCAGTCAGACATCCCTCTGGAAGCCCGGGAGCCCTTGGGGG